CGGACACACCAGCCGCTTGCGTCTCCGCTTAGGCCCCTGCAGCTAAATGGCTAGAGAAGTGGGACGTCTGGAAGAGGAATCGGTGTTTCTGTGCCCTGGTGTAACTTACCATGGGCAGACGACACGCAACGGCACAGAGGATCTTCCTAATTCTCTTTTCTGTGATGGTTCTGTCACTGAACAAATGACATCAGTTTTTCTGCCTGTTTATAATATTGATATTCCCACCTGATTCTGTTTATGGAGTCATTCTGAGGGTGGGGAGCATCTCCTGAGAAACAGGCTTAACCCTGCAGTGCTTCTGAAAGCTTCCAAAAACTGCATTTCTGTTGTAAGTCCAAAGGCAATTTGCTTCTTACCTTGAAAACAGATTTGTGTTTGTGATGCGACTTCTACGCCCTGACAAGTTCTTTGCTGTAATCTTACACTGCTTCACTGATTTCAGCGGTGCCGTACGAATTACACGCCAGGAAAGCACGTGGCATTACCGCTGATTTTAGTGTGGCAGAAAGGCCTTTGCTATCACACCAGAAGCAGCTTCTCACATTTTTCGCAGAAGAACGTGCAGTGTCTTGCACTGGCAACACTGGGCAGAACTCCCACTGTGCCAGCATGAGTTTTAATGGATGCTGTGACATCCAGGACCGCTGGGCAGCTCGTACTGCAAGTGACCTTCGTACAAGGTGTCTGGGTTGTCTGAGCAGATTTTGTGTTGTCAAAAAACCAGCAATGAGTAAGCCAAATTAAGATTTTAAGCCTCTGCTTTCTCTCACAACTAGATATGTAACAGTAATGCGCTGTGGGAAAAGATTGTGCGGAACTTGTGGGACACAATTTCACCTGAAATGGAGGAGCTGGCACAGGACGTGGGCTGGAGACAATTCTTCTTCACCGACAGACTGCAGCTGCAGCTCCGCAGGAGGAGGCAGAAACGAGATGCTCACAATGAAAACCTAGCTGTATGAAGATGCATTTTCCATCGAAGCGGTTGTTGTAAGGCATGAATTTGCTGTTTATCAGGTCAGACATACTGACTCTTCTGCTTTATTAGGGAAAGCAGATTATTTTAAAGATTGAAAGAGGAAAAACAAGATATGTCTTACTCAGAGCAACATGTAAATAACACAAAGTTCAATGTGTTTGGCGTCCTGAAATTGTGTTACAGTCAGCATGGTAACAGTTATTAACAATGGAAGAGTGGTGGCTACTTTGTACTTCTTTGTTCTGACTTCACTATTTTGTATAGGTGCTGTACATGCTCCAAGTCTTGTATCAGATGCTACTGCATCGTCACCATTACCTTTATAGAAAACCATCTATCATTTCTTACTACAAAGATTGCTGATGAATGCTGAGGTTTTTACTGTCCACCATGGTAAATCTGCAGTGTTTATAGGCAAGTCACGTGTAGCTGGTTCCAGAGTTTCATGTGTGTTTAAATGTTTTTAAATTAATTATCTAAACTTCAAGAAAATAATAATTTTGTCACCAAGAAGAAACTTCTTTGGTGACTGAGGGTGTGATCAAACAATCATCCTCATCTTGGACACTCCATTAAAATCCTGTTTGAGGCACTCTGCCAAAATGGTGCGTGGGCAAAATTTCCCCTTGATGTTGCTGATGCAGGAACTGCTGAAAGTAATTGACTTCCGTTGTTCGAGCTGCAGATTTGACAAGAGACATTTGCTAGCGTAAAAGACTGTAACAATCGTTACTTAAGAGTGTTGTAAAATGAAGGCAGTTCTTACTGACATTACTGACTCACTCTAACAATCAACTTCAGTAATTAAGAGGTGAAATATTATTAGTCTGAAAGTACCAGCTGATTAATATATCATTTGCCACTGACTAGACTCAAGACCTGAGTATTAAAGACAGCAATTGCAACATTTGGATATAATAGCATAATATTTGAAGAGTGTATTAGGTTTACAATTTCTTAACATGTCAAGTATTAAACTTGAATTTTGTAAATGGATTAAAAACTATGAATACAGAGTTCTTATATTATTCTGTTCCTTTATTAAGCAGTATTTTAATTCTTAAAAAGAGTATTTTGTTCTACAATGATATACCAATATTCTTAAAGCATTTGGTGATGGTGGATCTTTCGATGAAGAAACACTTCTTTCCTGTTTGTGACTTTCCTTTTAGGACAATGACAAAGAAAAATTTTGTGATGTCCAGAAAATACTGTATTCATAAAATTTCTGTTCCGTGTAATAAAACTGTCCTGTGTAATTTTGCTATAGAGAGATGATTTTAAGAACTACAGTATATGACCAGGGCTACTAAGCAACAGACTCTTTTTTCTCACTTTCTGTCAATTTACCACCAATGAATTTTTCTCTTAGCTTGCGCTCTCATAACAGATTTAGGCAGTTTCAGGTTAGGAAACTAGAACCCCTGCTAGCCAATATGGACTGAGTGAATATTAATTTAAAATCCTAATTTAACTGGATTTTGTCAGCCCACCTTCCCTTCTCCTTGATCAACCACATACCTGTCCCTTCTGTTACAAGAAAGAAGAACAATCATTTTGCAGGAGAATCTTCATTTTTAACTTAAAAATAATGAGTTTAATTAGTAAATGAACAGAAAGTGAAATTTTGGATGATGTAAGTTTATTCCCATCCTATGGCCCAGTAAAGACTTCTATGGAAAGATACAGTGCAGATATAGCATAAGTGAACAACATATTATTCATTACAGTAATAGGCAAAGAAAGTTGATTTTGACAGAAGATGAAGTGAAGATCTAAGTATAAAGGGTACACATCTTTCAAAAAGAAAAAAAAGGCAATTGAGGGAAATCATCACTTCAACATATACACGTCACCAATACAAGAAAGCTCAGTTAAAATACGCTAGCAGCAGCATTCACACCAAGACGACACTAAACCTGTAACAAAAGAACTGATATGGAAGTGTAGTTTACATGAACATTTTCTCCAACAAAAAAGCTGATTTTAAGAAATGACTGACTGTGTTCACACCATGTGTTGCAGTTCACTGCCACCTCAGTTGTTTTAATGTGAATTTTAAAGGCCATACATAACTATCTTAGGTGAATGAACTGATCTAAATCTTAAAGTAGTTCAGGCTTTTCTTTTTTAACTTGGCTCATTTCAGTGCTCTATTTTAAAGTACGTCCCTGCCAGTAGTTGTACAAGCATGAAACTAAGCAGCTGATGAATTGCAATATAGAACAAGTCAAGGCTCAGAACAATTTTTTAACAAACCTTGCAGCTACAAAAAAGATCTGTATAATGATCTTTGCATACTGAACTGTTCCCCAATATTTGTTCAATATCAATTGTATCAATTGTTTTTAAAGAATTGTTTTAAAGAATTCCAGCAGCATGTATCAGTATTAAACTAAGAACATGTTTTGTCATGAAAATACTTTCATAACACTAGCAGGGAAAAAACCTGCAGTGACTTTTACTTGATATAGGAAAATTAACATCAGATTCACCTCTCAAAGCTGAAAAAGTTATGTTTTGTACCACTGTACGAAACATTGTGCAATGATTACCAGGTGCTTAATGTTGTTTAAGAAACTTTATTTGAATATTTTAAATGGTCTTTAGCTCTTCCATGCTTTGCACTACCTAATTTTCTAGCAAATAAACATCTCAAACGTGACCAGTCTTAGACAGTTCATAGTGTACATTGTGAGCAGCAACACAGCTGATCGTAATGTAACAGGTTTTGTTATTAAATTAATTGTAATAAAATTCAGTGTGCTGTAGTCCAGCTCTTTCTAAAACTGTATTTGGCCAATTTTGCCCAGCTCTGTTTCTTTAGCACTGTTTACTTGACAAGCAAGTCCCATGGAAGGACTCAATGGCAACGTTACGAAGTTCTACAATAGCTCTCATCGGGTAAAGCAGCCAGAAACGTCGAACCGTTTCTGGAAACATTTTCCAGTTTGTGAATAACAATAATATTTTCCATATGTTGTCTGGTTTTGCTTTTATGTTTGTTTTACTTCAGATGCATTTAGTGTCACAGCATTTATAACGCAGCCTACGTATTGAGGATGGCTACTTTATTATGCAGTTCATACTTTAAAAAAATAAAATAAAAAATCCTTGAAGTAGAGAGTAGTTTAAGAAAAATATAAGAACTTTTCTTCAGTTTTGCATCACAGAAATAGTAATTTTAATACACTGCACTAATTGAATTATTGTCCAAGCTTTTCAACAGTACTTGACTAGCCAGGTAAGAAATACAATAATTTTCGCATACTCAGTAACTAATCTTTTATCACACAGAATACATAGTAGGAAGGACTTTTATAAATCATTTGTATCCTGGTCACATTCTCTTGTAGGACTAGTGAAAATCAGGAGTAACTGCACTGCAGTCAATGGAGTTTCACCACTGGTTAATGGTGAAAAGCTAAAAGAGAAGCACGGGTAAAGGCTCCTAGCATTGTTCCACTTTTAAAAGACTGGCAGGGTGTGTTTAATCACTGTATTTGTTAGTTCTAAAGTAAAAGATCTTAACTCATTTAAAAAGCGTATCTCTAATAATTTATTAGCATTTTGGAGCACATTTGCTTTTCACGTAAGTACAGCTCAGTGTGGTTGGTTCCATAAGAAAAACAGCTTCATACTGTCATACAAGAGAAACATGAAAACAAAAAAGTTCTGTAAAAAAACTTCTGGAATTTGTTCTATACTTGTGCCTCTTCCGTAGATTTTTCTCTTGGTTGTTTCTTTTGAATACAAGGTTGTATAAGTAAAAATATTATTCCCACCATGTATAGCAAGCCAGATATGTAGAAAGAAAAATCATATTTATCTGTGATGTCATAGATCCAACCTGCAAAATAAGGACAAAACATGTTTATTACAAAGCTTGACAACAAGGTACATTGCACAGGGAAATATGAAAAATACTGCACATTTCTCTATGTCATTTCAGTCATTTCTCTTATGACATTTCAGGCAAATCCATTTACTGCTTTGTTGAAAAAAGAGATGGTGATTGTCCCCTCCTCTAGATGCTACAAATGGAAATCTAGTAACAAAATCTCTTGTTCCTTCACCAAAACCCAAAAAGAGTGCAAAATCTATCACCTCCTCTAAGTATCCTGGAAGTCTTAAAACGGGACTCTAGCTATGTGCCATCCAAGCAACCTTCTCCATAAAACTGTACATTTTGCAAATAAGTTATCATATGTCTGACTTTAAAATAGACATTTTGGAATCCCAAACCAGTTACTTCTTCCATCCTACTATTTTCTTTGCAAAATACCCGATACTCCGGGCTAGTTCAGATGCTGTGCCCTGTGCAAGCAAACGCGTTCCCAACAGCTTTCTCAAAGACTCACACACCGACAGAAGACTTTTCAAGATACATAATCTCAGTACTGCAATGACTCTCATTCCAGCCTTAATTCCTCTGCAAAAAAAATACGTTAAAGTTACTTCAGAAAGGTTCGAGAACCCAAAATAGCAAAATTCCTTCATGTCGTGCTGGATGATTGCAATGTAACCTCAAGATCAGAAGCTTTTGCTACATCAACTAATTGCATCCTATTTGCTTCATTGCTACTGACCAAACACAAAGACGTGTTTAGCACAGGTTGAGAGGTGCTGAGAGAGTACGTGGCAGAGTAAAACACTGCTGCTTCTCAAAGGGCACTGGGTGAGCTTTCTTCTAAATCGTGTCAGCTCACTCACTGGTGTGGAGAGAAGGTGAGCGCATTCTCGCTTTTCGGGGTTGCCCGTGCTGCTAACGGCTTCAGCTGAGCCTGCTGCCAGCCCTGGCTGGCCACGGCCATTACGCACAAGGCTCCTCATGGCTTTCTGCTGATTCGCGTCTCTCTAAAAGATGGCCGTAGTCTGGCTATAGTATTGGCAACCAGTACCTGTCTCTCCTCTACTTCTGCATCTCTTGCTGTGAGAAAATTTATAATGGATGTTTGTTTAAACCTAAGTAACTTTAGGGAT